AATCTGTGAAAAGGAACACATGAGAAAGAACTCATAAGGTATTAACAGCAAGGATGAGTAAAACCCTAGATGAAAAAGAAGGAACGCTTTAGAAAACATCTCACATGTTCTTAGTTCATTGCAAATCCAGGGGTTTTATTATTGGGCAGCCAACAACTGGGCCAATGTAAGGACATACTGTATAAGGGTAAAAAAGCCAAGATAAAGTATTGGAACTATAGCTTTTTGCTTGCCTAAACCATGATGCCCTCTGCCATTAGTTTCACAGTTGGCTTGGGAGCTCAGCCAACATTGGGAGAGACAGTCAGGTTTGATCCCCACCAGGATGACTAGGAAAGAAGAAGTGTTCAGTTTCTGAAAAAAGTACAAGGGCCACACATCTGATTTTTCCTAGAGAAACGCAGCAGGAAGGAAACCAAGCTAGGCTGTTTCTTTTACTAACAGGCAACTCTGTAGATATGGAATGCTGGGGAGCTTACCTTAAGTGCTCACTATAATTGTGGCAAGTGGGGATAGGCTATTTTGCATTCTTAGAATGGGAGAATCAGAGGGAGGATTAAGAGACTGCTAGTCTGAAGTTGCTGGGCCCAGAGCGGTCAAGCTACGGCTTTTACATTCTCTTCTCATTCCTACTAATCCTCCCAAGGGAAGAAGTAGGAGAAAACCGGCCTTTCCCTTCTTATCATCACTTTTGGAGGGTTAGCGGGGTTTTCTGGTCAAGCATAGAGCTCAGACAAATGGCTTCTTGTCTTTAGAAGACAAAGTCAAGGTCATCTTGGGCCAACAATAAACCCTGAGTGAGAGGAGATGCTTTTCTCATTCTGTTTTCCACTACTAAAACAAATTTGTTTCCATAGGACCATATGCTCAACTTGCATTTTCCTAATGTGTAAACTTGGCTCCGGTCTCCAGAGAATTGTGGTCAGCTGGCTGGACCAGTGTGATAAACAATAAAATGATCTGATGGACATGAGGCAAGGAATAAGAAATCTGGGTTGTAAGATTTCTATACATGTCTGGTTGGCATTCTTTAATCCAGCCAATGGGTAGATAATTTAAAAAGGGGAAGGGAGGAGTCACTTCAAATTATCACTTCAGAATAGGCATGAGGGACCCACACAACCAGCTGCAGTTTTATAGCATGTGAGGAAAGCAAGCTGGCTTTGTTCACTTTTGACACTGTGCCTTGCCATACACTGCAGCTGCCAGCTTATTTTCTGAAATTAAAGAGTTCCAAGCAGCACTGCCAATAATGGGAGTGGAAACAAGCCCAGCAGATAAGGCATTAATTGTTACTCTAACATCTCTTACTGGGATCCCTGCACTGACATTGGGACATCCCAACATTTGAGCATGGCCTGTATTTATAAGACCACCACTTCTTCCGGCAGCCAGAAAAGAGCAAGAGATTCCAGTTCATGGCTAGGAGCTTTCCTTTTCCCTCCTTCAAATGGTGACATTCAAGGCAGAGTTGCAGGACCATGGACAACTCCATAGTCCAGTCATTTAAACTGTGTTTTTGCTCAGATGCTCACAGTTTGACAGCAGCACAATTTCAGTTTAAAGCACAAGAGTCTCTCCCCCAAAGAATGCCCAACTTACCATGAATTCCCATCTTTGCAGCAAGGGAGTAAAATGTTCTGCAGTGCTCATCTAGTCCTTCCACCCACTTTCCCCTGGTTGTGCATGCGGCCAGTGAGAAACAATAAAAACATGTCTCGGCTGCACCACTTCACTGTCCTCCAGATTAGAGTCCTCCTCTTTATTATTCAGATCAGGGGATAGGATTTTTGTAGCTAATAGGCTATGTCCTAAAAGATCGCCTAAGGCATCATTACTACTATGACCAAAGATGTCTGGGTTAATTCAAATGTAAAAAGTGAAGGCTGGTTTCCAATTAAACACATTCTACTTGAAGGACGCAGAGTTCATCAAAAGATTTGGAAAGGATATTGAAGTCTTGTATATTGTTCAAATCAACACTCTCTGCAAAAAAGTCTTTATGAGTTTCTGAAATACAGCCTTCCCCATGTTTGGAGGAGGCCAGTGTAGCATACTCATGTGGTATTTGAGACCATGATTATAACTGAAATCTAATTGAACCACCATTTTTCAAAACATGGAGCAAACGTATGGAAGAGAGCTGTTGGAAGCATGAGGAATGCACCACTTTGGTGGCAGTGGTGGGGAGCGTAGAGGCAGCACATAAGAGAGAGCCAAAAATATTAATTTTGCATCCTATATTGGCCTATGTTCTGACAGGTTGATTTGTCTTGCAATTTCTTTAGCTCAGTGAAAGCACTGCAAAACCTCCGATTGATCTTGCCTTTTAATTTTTTTTTATTACTGCAATTTATCACCATAATGCTGTCTGATCTATATGGGAAATGCTGAACAAATTGCATCCAAGGTACATGATCGCACAATCCAAATGAACCCTACAGAACATAGGCAAACTCCTACACAACTGCACTGGTTTTGTTGTAGAGTTGCTGAGTCAAGGTGCAGTGAGCAGTGTATCAGTACAAAGTCAGGCCAGCCTGCAGGCATGACTCAGCAACAGCTGGACCCTGTTCAGCAGACTCAGAGATTGGGAAAAAAAAATTCTTTTTTGGAATAGACTAAACATCTCCAATGCCACTTGTTGTCCAAAAAAGTATAATCTCCAAAGTCTTATACAGTATTAGGTGTGCCATACATGCAGCTTGTGCTACTTCTGACATCCATACTGAATGTTGATTGATCATTTCTTACATCATAAATATCAACCTATTTTTCTGACTGTGGATTCACCACTCACACACAACAGGAAGCAGCAGCTTCAGGGAAACCCAGATGTGTGAAGTAGCAAAAACAACAAAATATTTAGCAAAACTACCTCCCTGCCCCCCCCCAAAAAAAAACACTAAGGGGGGAAAAATCACTTTGATGAAACACAATGAGGACTAAGCATGCTCAGTGGCCACAGAATGCTACCTATTGTGAGTGTGTGTGTGTGAGAGAGAGAACAGATGAACAATTAGAATGGAGTATTCGCAAAAGCATATGGTTGACTAACTAGCTCTCTAAACAGAAAAACTCCATCCTATGATATTTTCTTGTTGATCCCACTTCGAAACAACACATTTTAGCTATATTAAGAGAGAACCAATTTTGATTTTAGTAGGCTCATTATAGAAAAATGCAGGGAGGGAGAGGGCTAAATAAATAAATATATATATATTCTAAATATTAACTGGGCAACAGCAGAACTTGGCACATAATCTGGAATCCTGAGAACCTTCACTCTGATTTTCTAAAAGTACAATTTCTTGACTTAATGATTGCCAAAAAATTATGGAAAATACAAGCGGTATCAGCTAAATATTTGGAACCATATAGGGCCCTCTAGTCAATCAGAGTGAAATCCTTGAAATATTTGGCACAGTATATCTATCTACAGATTTAGTTCATAATCATTCAGGGTAAAAGAAACCCAATGGCTTCTACATCATTTGAACAATGTGGGGTTGGGGATGACAGCTAGATTAAATTACCCTATTAGCAACATTTCTCTATTAGCAAAACTATATTAAATGCTTTGTTTTGGAAAGAAGAACCCTATTACAGAGGCTAAAGGCTGCTTGACTGGATTACAACACAAAGTAATCTAGTGTTTGTTCTCCAACTTTGAGGATAACTGAAATTCTGCCCTCTGTATTGTCCTGTGTCCCCCTTTCCCTCCTATATGTACAATACACACACTGCCTCTCTACTAGAATTTGAATTGATGTCATATGATACTTAAGCTGGAGAAGTTGGCACCTGCAATAGAGAGGGCCTGGCACATGTAACTTCCTTTATAAATTAGTTCTTTATGAAAACTAATTACTGATTAGGACTGCACAGATAGAAGGGTTATGGAAGATTTTATGAATGCTATCTTTCATTTGCAGAGTGTTCCTTTTAATTTAGATTAAGCCATGTCTAGAAAGGGCTTCCTATGCACTCCTTAAAAGTGCAATGCCTTTGAGACAAATCTTAGCATACAGTCAATCATGCCAACTTTCTATATCAAATCCAGTCAGTCCTTTCAGTACAAGAACACAGATCTGGCCTAAAGAAGGGCACAACTTTGTATCTCTCAAAACAGCTGACAATACCAGGTGAGGGGAAGGAGCACACATATAGTAACTACATAGAGTTATTTGGAAGGTCTACTCTAGATGCTTCCAACCTGGTTCCCTCCAGCTGTTTTGGACCACAGCTCCTACTAATCTCTGCTACAACGACTAATAGAGATTACGAAAACTGTAGCCTAGAACATCTGGAAGAAAGCAGTTGGAGAAGGTGGACTTACTCAGATGGGTACTTCTTTAGAAATCAAACAAACGACATTCATGGCTCAACACAGGATGCTGAGGGTGGCAAAATACAGGGGGATATCTTTGTTCAGAATAAATCTGTAAAAGGCTCTCTCTCTGAAGTCAGCAGAAGGGAACTCACCAAAGAGGAGTCACAAGCATTTCAGTATACAGAACAGAACTGAGAGACAGTTTTAGCCAGGGAGACATTTGATAACTTTTCTGCCCAAAAGGGAAAATCATGGATGCATTATTTCCTCTCCTCCCTTTGGTTCCAGTTTGCAGTCCTCTTGTGCTTTTACAAATGGAATGATAAGAAGGGGAGCCTATCAGCAAACTGTGCATCTTTGAGAAGGTTGTGCTGCTGCTTCAACCCTGTGTGCATCTGATGCAGGCTGAAAGGATCCACAAGGCGGGTGTGATTACTGGAGGTCATCTTGTCAGCACCAATTTTAAGTTGGAGGGACCACAGTGATGGACTTTTTGGAGTGATAGAATAAGAAAAGGGTGCATTGAAGAGAAAAAAAAATGAAGTAAACTGCAATGAAGCCTAGTAGTTTCTCCTTATAGATCCATGGCCAGGAGATTAGAAAAAAGATAATTCTGACAACCAAAGAGTGAACAGCTGAACTAAAATAAAATAATGGGGGGAAAGAAAAAAAAACAAAGCAGAGTTTATTGGAAGTTTGAATGTAAAAGGACCATCATGCAGATTAAATAAGGAGGGTACAAAGTCAGAATTAACAGTCCTAGGCCTTTGCCTATTTTTGTTGTGGTAGGGAAGCTGAAAGGCAGCACCCAGAGGGAAACAGCTGGTCACTGCAGTGCTAACTCTTCCACTTCAATGTTAACAGGTTCCTTTCTGGGTTTTTGCTTTTCTTTACTTTATAAAAAGATCCTCATTTTAGGGAACTGCAAACTCAAGTGCTGTCCTGCCTTGCCAACACTGCTCTACAGAAATGCAGCGTCTGGTCCTGTGAAGAGGTCTCCAAAGTCTTTGCCCCCACAGGAACTTTGTTGCAAGGAGTCATGAATCCAAGGGGGTTATTAAAGCCCCCCCTCCCCCAGATCATACTGCAAAGCCCATGAGTTTATTACAGAGGCTGAAAGCCTACAAATAAAAATCATCGTTCTCCTACCACCACAAGTCATGGGGCTGGGAGGAGGGCAGTATGTTGCAGAGGAGTGACAGACTGCCTCCTCCTCCTCCATCATCCACCTTCTGTGGTGTCCTGTTCAGACCACAGGTTGCAGATACAAAAAATGCAAAAGAACTAAGAGCGAAGGCAGCCGAGACCAGCTCATTCCAGTCTCCGTTCCATCCTGATCCATCTGTCTTTAGAGTGCAGACTGCACATTGGGGTCCAGGGTTTCTCGGTCAGGAGACTCAATGTAGTTGGCTGCTTCCTGGAGCTTCAGCAACATTGCCATCTATTTAGGAAAAAAGACCAACCAGAAAGATGTCTTATTAACTCAACACTTCCATCACCACTGCCACTACCAGCAACACTGCCACCTCCACCTTCATTCTTTTATTTGCTATGTTTCTATCCAAGCCATCCTTCAATGAGCTCATAGATGAGCTCATGACAGGCCAATGAATTCATGATAACACATTTCAAAGCGAGCCTGTGTGGGGCTCAGAGGGAGTGTTAGTCCCAAGTACCCTATGCCAAAGACGTTACCCAGGGCAGCTTCTCTAAGGCTTTGTAAATTACATGTCTCTGTTGTCTTCCCTATTGTATCCAAAATTCCATCACAACATGTACTAACCCAACTAGCTATCTCTGCTGGCATGCACAGCCAACATCCTTCTTTGGCTTATGCTTTTGTGCCACCCTGTGGATGCTTTCTCACACTGCTATTTTCACATTCACCTTAAGGCATTTGTTATGGAGAGAAGAAGGGAGCCTGCCTACCACCAACACTAGTTCTGCCTGTCCTATTAGAGGCTTCCCAATAAATTTTCTAAAAGGATATTTGCCTTTGTCATTTAAAAAAATGGATTTTTGACCTTGTTTTACAGCCAAGAGAAGCTGTCATATGCTACCTCCTTGGCTGAACTCTTAATTCTCAAGAATCCAGCAACCTCTGGTCTCCCAGGGCAGCTACTAGGATACAATAGTAACATCTATCACTACAGAGAAATTATCAGTAAAGGAGGGCTATGGCATTGCAACCATGAGCTGGTTTGTAATCTAACATGCTTCTGAACTCCCACTTTAATTTCCTCTTGCAAAATATGATAAGAATCAGTCCAAACTATGCCTGGGCAACTATCCTCCTCTGCAGCCTGAAGACATACCAAAGGATCTGATTCCAAAGAGTTGGGTGTAGAATCCTTGCCACTCCGTTCCTCTGGAGGTGAAATCGTGCTGTGGGGCCCCATGCTGGGTGGGGGGAGGTGGTAGAGTTTTGATTGGTCCTGTTGGGCTGATGGCCATGGCAATGTATCTCGCACCCATTCCACAGGGTCCTCCCAGGCTGCCTTCTGCCCATGCACCTGCAAAGAGGACAGGCAAGGAAAAATATTGACACTTGCAGGAGTTTGTCTTTGAATGTTGTCCAATTTGTGCTGGAACTTAGTCAGGGCATCCTTGACTAACATCACAAATTCCATTCACAGTTTTGTTGCTAAATACTTTCTCTTGTGGGTCATTTAAAAGCAAAGCGAAAGACAGTTTAAAAGCAAACAATCCATTCAGACAAATGGGTGCATCCTACAACTAACACTTTAAATAAACTAATGGGGATGAGGATGTGGGGGATAAAATACCTTGATGCCATCCTTTGCTCCCTCCTGGAGGTAGGGGATGATGGAATTGTTCCACAGGTCAATGAACCAGGTTCGAAATTCCTCAATACCAATGGGGCATGAAAGAAAGAAGCATGGACCTGGAAAGGATCGTGAAAAGAGGAGTGGAAGCTTATTAGTCAGTGTGGAAACACTGAAGTAATGTAATATTCTGGCTAGTGGTGATGACAGTGCTTACTGTTAAGTTAAAATAGGTACACCTATGTTAGATTCAGGGAGCCAGTGTGGTGAAAGCTGGAAATACCTTACTAAACTGTGAATACATTTATGTCTGTTTCCTATGATATTCAGCTTCAAGATCCGGATTTTGCAACTACACTAGGATTTATGAATATGCAGAGATGAGACATATCACACTAAGGGTACCAATAATCTAGAACTGCAAGAGGGGAAACCAGCAATGGCAGTAAATGTAGTCTATTCCACAGCTCACATAAACCCAAATTTTAAAGGACTAAACAAATTTAGAGCAGTGCCCACCATCCCTCATTACTGGCTATGGTACCGAATGATTATGGGAGCCGTCGTCTTACAACATCTGAGGGACCACAACATGCCCATCCCAGAGGTAGCAAAAAGCAAGGTTTAGCTGAGTCCAGGACATTGCCTAAAACCAGTTACTAGTTCCAATCAGACTAGATCAGTTGAATCAATGGCATGTACACACGTGTTCACTTACTAGTCAACTATTGATTTGATGGATCAACACTAATTGAGATTATCAACTGGATTTAGACCAGTGTCTTCAAATTTAGGGTTCATCTTGGTTCTGTAATGACAGTGAGTGTCTTCTAATTCCTTTTCTAAGCAACTGCAATTAATGTCAATGATGCCAAATGAGTGATTCCTTTCCCCCCCCCTTTTATGCAATCTGGAGCTCTGGAATCTTTCTTCTATTTAAGAGAGATAAAATGCTGGAGATAACAAGCAACTTAACCTAGGCCTTGCATTATGGCTTCCCATCTCAACTGCCTGAAGGGTGCAGCTTGCTCCTAAGAGTACCTTTAGCCAGTGTGACTTGAGCCTTACCAATGAGGAAGTCAGAGGTGCTGTGCTTCTCCAGGAAGGTGTGCAGATGATACCAAAGCTTAGGCACCCAGTCGAGCACACGCAGCAGCTCCTCCCGGTTGGCATTGACATCACTGTCAGACTCAAGCAGCTTCCGGCGCAAGTAGCGCACCAGAAAACCATTGGCTGGCTCCACATTATTGGAGAATGTCAGCATCCTGCAAGGAAAGGTAACCATGTAATTGATAAAAACAAAAATACAGGCACTCGCCACAAGCAAACACTCCTCCTATAAAGTTCTTTCTAGATTCCACTGAGTGGCAAGCTTTGGCCTTCAAGTAGTCTTGCTCCCTCTCTATGTGCTCTAGAGCTCTTGTGGGACTGTGCCAACTTTTTCCCACTGCCCAGCTGATCATCCACCACCAAGGAGAAAGGGGGAAATATGGCAGGGGCTCTAACTTTGCCCCACTGTAGCTATGAGTGAGCATAAGTGTTAGCAAAGGCAAGAGCAAGAGAATATTTATTAGTGCATGTGTGTCTGAGTGTAATGTCCTGTCTCCCTTCAACATCACAATAAAATCAAACACAGCTGTCACATTACATTGTCAAAACTACTTCATTCATTATTTCTGGAATAAAGATAGAAGTATTTGTTTTAACATATATTGATGCAGCTGTTTTGTTTTGTTTTGGTTCCAGCTTACAGCTGCTACATGGATCTTCCAGTGTAGTGTAAATCTAGCACTCTCCCATGCACCCAAACAGCTACCATGAGGGCTCCATGGTGAGCCTTAAGCAAAATAGGACTACCCATCCCCGTTCTGGACTAACAAACTGAGCAGTTCAAGCAACTCTTCCCCACTCCAGACACCAGTTTTGAACCTCAGGAAGTTTGGGATCCACTAAAGTAGAAGACGTACTATTTGAATTTTGCTACCTCCAGTGGATCCACAATAGAAGTCTTTACCTGAAGCTCAGGTGAAGGCCATGGTTTGGAGTCATCTTTACAGGCTGGTTGGTTGTTCCAATGATGTAGGGGCTGAAGGCAGAAGAGAAAAGAAGAACTCCATCAGGCCCCATTGTACTCCACTTGCTCTCTGTGGAGGGGATTTTTGAAAGCCCTTTATTCTAGCCCTTCTCACAACACAGCAGGATTATTAACTAGGATAACCTTCTCCAAAGTGGATCCTTCTAGGCGTGCTGGCCTACAACCTCCATCATTCCCAGCCACCACGTCTAATGGCCTTTACTGGCTGGGGATGGTTCAATTTGTAATTCAGTATGGAAGGAATGAGGAAGGGGGAAGGATGCCCCAGGATGTTTCCCTCATGCCCATGGTGGGGAACAGAGGGAGTCCCTGGTTATGACTGGGCGAAGCAGTTCACCACCACCACTATCTGTATCCCACCTCACGGCAGCAGTACATTGATTCTCTAGAAGAATGATGAAGAAAAAAAATGGGGTTGGGTAGGAAAAATCCCCTAATAAGAGTAGAGGCTATGACAGAAGCCAATAGAGGAAGATGTCCTATGTTTAGGATCTCAAAATATTTTAAGAACAGGTGTTTTCCTTCAAAGTGAAACGGGGAGGGAATATAGAATGTTAGTACTGAAATAAATAAATACAAAATGCAATAGGGCTGGGTTCTTGGTATCACAGGAAACTGCCTTCCAGACCAAAGAATGTCAGGTACCAGCAATAATGGGGACACCTCTCTCTCTCTCTCTCTGGCCAAATTTCAGCATAATCAAATGCATAAAAGGGTAGAAGACAGCCCTTGCATGTAGTCTGAAGCTTGAGCTACTCAGTCCTGTTTGTCTTTTGTAGATTTATATCTGACTGCTGAAGAGCTCATGAAAATACTGTCCTGAAAACACAAGAGCCCTAATCTTCCAGGACCTAAAGAGGAATACTGTACTACAGCCGCTGATATTAATGTTAAGAGTTGACTATCCATGACACAGAACCAAGGGTGAGGAAGCAGCAATCAAGAGATAGTGACGATGCAGGACTGAGGTAATGGTAAAGCCATGCCATCACCATCAACTGCCCACAGTGCCATCGCCATCTGAAAGCACCAATGCACAGTCAATCAACTCTTACAGACTCAAAACATCCCTTGAGGGTAAGATCACGCATGACAGTCTCTCACCATTTGTGGTACTTGCAAGTGAGTGCACCATTGACAAGCTCACTAATGGAACCAGGTTCATTGAGGTCATCAAGGAGGATAACCAATGGCACATCTATCCCTGTTTCCCGATCAATCTGATTGGCCAGATTCGAGAGGTAAAGCTGGAGATCCTGGTAAAAAAACAATACAAAACAAAGGTCACTGTGATAGCATGGACAAAAGGCACCTATCTAATCACAGAATAAAGAATTAAGAAGTGCAGGGGAAGGTACTAGATATCAGATTTTGGGCTGAGGATCAGCAGCTAGAATGAGAGGGTAACTTAGCAAGACAATACAAGAGAAATAGGAAGATTAAAGCTACAATGCCATACTAGTTAGCTAGGATAAACCTCAGTGAATTGGTTTATGATATATGTATAAGCTTGCGGCAGAAGATTAAGAGGCTCCACAGCTGCAATTACAGGGAAACTGAGGCATGGAATGACAACTATAATCCAGTATGTGGGTCAGTGATTGTGACTGAGCAGAAACCAAAAAAAATAGCAAGGGGGTTTCACACCTTGCATGACTGCTGGTGCATGTTGAAAGTATTGACAATGCCATCAGTGACTTCCCGGCCGGAGCGCTCCACCAAATACTCAGCCAGACGATTGGTCAGGTAAGTCTTGCCAGTTCCACTTGGTCCAGAAAGGATAAGGCGTCTGTGCTTGAGAAGAAGGCTTATGTAGTGCTGCATCATGGGTTTAGGGATGAGGGTCTCAAACACCAGGCTGTCCACACATTTTTCTTTCAACCCTATATTTAAAAGAAAGGGGGGGAGGGGAAAGGCTGTTACAAGACTTCCCTGCCATTAACAGCCAGGGACGTCTTAATATTTCAGGTTCTTCTTTCCATCTCAGTAGTCCTTCTGGTGCTGTGGAAGTTTCCTTTCTTCCTGAAAAGGAGGAACATGGGCACACTGGAATGTTTCCAGAGGTCTATCCAATGGTAAAATGTCTGAAAATCAGTTCCTATGAGGAACATTTGAAGGAGCTGGATATATTTAGCCTGGATAAGAGAATATAGAGAAGTGATAGGATAGCCATCTCTAAATATCTGAAGGGGTTCTTACATGGAAGTTGGAGCTAACTTGTTTTCTTTGGCTCCAGATGGGAAGCCCCAAGTAACAGATTCAATTCCCACCTGTCACCTGGCAATCTCAACATCTATCTTTCTCTAGCCTGAGTTCAGACACGGGAACTATTCTTACTGAAATTATTTAACAAACCAGGATATCATGCCATGGTTTGAACCAAATTTGTTTTAACTAACATTGGGTGGAACAAAGCACAATTATCCTAGTTTACCTGTAACCCAGAACTGGAGCTTGTTTTCAAGTGAAAACAGAAGCCTGTGTGAAAAAAGAGGTAGGAATATGAGAGTAGACAGAACAGAAATTTAGTAGGACAGAAACCAAGAGACAAGCTGGAGTGTCTGGCCTGACACATCACTGGTACTAATTATTACCAAACAGGCTACAATCTGCTCTTTTGGACATAGTGGCCAGAATTCTATCACCGATATACACTTATAAAAATATAAAAACTTCAGCTGGAGGGGTGGGAAGGAAATAAAAAGTTTGCAGCAAGGTGAAGGATGAGGCAGAATTTACCTTAGTGGATACTAAAACCCCCGAGGTTAAAAAAATTGCTATTTTGTTGTAGGAGGATTCATGTTTAATGGTAGTGGTGCATTATCTAAAGTGCTCATGTCTGGAGTGTGGAACAATCACACCAATGGAGCATTTCTTTCCACTGTCCAGCAATAGCGTGCAAGCATTCATGGGTGGGCTCTATTTGCCCTGATAGTATTTCTCCATTGTTGCAATGTCCTTGGGAAATTGCTCACTGTACTCATCGCTCACTGCTCCGCAATTTGGTGGGGAAAAAAATCTAGATGAGAGTGCAAAAAATGTATCTATATTGACATGATGCAACCAACACTTTTGTATGCCTTGAGAAGGTTTTCCACCAACAACCTGTAGTTATCTGCCTTGCTATTTCTGAGAAAAGTTATTTTCACTAACTGGAAAGCTTTCCATGCTGTCTTTTCCTTGCCATGCAATGCATGGTCAAATGCATCATCTTGAAGAAAAAGTTAAGAAATCTTAGGATCAACAAAGACACCTTTCTTTTTTGTAGCTTCACTTAAAATCCAGTCACAGATTTATTCACAGATCCAGTCAAATATGTTATTTTAGTCATTTCTGATTTAAACTGAGATCCCTTTATAACTGACCTATCCTCTGCCATTCCTACATCATTGGTCATATACAGTGGTGCCTCGCTTAACAACGTTAATTCGTTCCAGCAAAATCGCTGTAGAGCGAAAACGTAAAATGGAATTAAAAAGCGCATTGAAATGCATTGAAAACCATTCAATGCGTTCCAATGGGCTGAAAACTCACCATCCAGCGAAGATCCTCCATAGGGGCGGTCATTTTCAGTGCCTATAGAGCGAGGAATCCGTCCAAAAGCACAGAGGGGAGCCATTTTGAGCACCCGCCGGCCATTTTGAAAACCCGACGATCAGCTGTTTTGATTGTCGTAATACGAAGAATCAGTTCCCGAAGCAGGGAACCGATCTTCACAAAGCGAAAAAACGCTGTTTAAAACATCGTTTTGCGATTGCGATTGCAATTGTAAAAACATCGCCGTGAAGCAGATTCGTCATCATACGGGGTAATCGTTAAGTGGGGCATGACTGTATACTGACCCAATAGAATATCTGGAAAACTAGAGCCAATCAACAGTTATAAGCATAATTTTCATTCTCAGTAACTCAGAATTAGTAAATTAAACATTTGTTTTGGAAGTGTTTTGGCTGTAGATCAGTGTTAGCTACCACTTGGCCTCAAGACTCAGGAATTCCTTTATGCAGGTGGAAAACAGCAGTAGGATTCTGAGCACTAGTCTATGCCTGAAAAAGAGCTTTGGGATATTCACCATGTTCAGCTTTCTACAGAACCCCTTTAAGTGTCTACTCCATTCAGACTCACATGCATATTAGTGTTAGTGAGAACATTTGAAAACATAGTGTATGCTAAGAAATAACTGTAGCTGTACCTTTCAGTGTCACAGCAATGCTGGTCACACCCCGTCGACAAGGTGGAAGTTCTGGTGGCTCCGTGTCTAAAACCCGCTTAATATGGCTGATACTATAGCCATAGACAGACTCGACACTGAGTCCTAGAGTGAGACCAGGGTCCATCTTGGTTACATAGTCCTGAGTGATGAAAAGGAGGGATTCATATACAGCTTCAGGAAAAAGGTCGAACCTTAGAATAATTCATGTATTTTACTCAAATGAATATAACCTATCTCTATACCCCACAGTTCCTGAAGTGGATACAAAATATTTTAAAAACCATGGTAAAACAAATGATCAGTCCCAAAATTTAAAAAAAGGAAGAAGAAGCACCATTGCCAGTAAATTCAAAGAGCAGCAGAAAGCATCTCTCACTGACTCTAAAAGAACTTCTGAATACCTGGGAAAGCAGATGCATTTTTACCTGGGAACTAAAAAGCATCAGAATTGGCAAAAGAGTTAACAGGTGTGTGGAGGGAATTCTGCCATGAGACTCACCGGAGCCAGCCAATATATATTTTTAGTGCAACCTATGTCACAGTTTTGTTGTGAGGAATAAAATATAGGAAGAAAGAACTATATATGCCACTTGCAATCCCTTAGAGAAAAAAGTGGAAATAATAAATGTAATAAATGTTAAGTAAAACCTACCATCAGTATGAGAGGCTGGGAAACAAGTATGTTCAATTATGCCATTATCAACAAGAAATACAAAACAAAAGGTGAACATGGCATAACTATAGTTTGCTATGTCAATCTGTGCAAGCATATCAATGAAAAACACAAAACAAAACAAAGGCCAAGCAAAAAATGATGGTGTGGCACCTTAAAATCTAACTGCTAAATTTTAATGCAAGCTTTTGTGGAATATGCTCACTTCATCAGACATAAGAAGTGGGCATGTTCCACAAAAGAGTCCATTAAAATATAGCAGCCAGTCTTTAAGGTGCCACAATGTATTTTCTTGTTTTGTTTAGTGAATGTGTTTCTTGTTGATATACTTGCACAGTTTCACACAGCTACAACTTCAAAAATCATAATTATGCCATGTTCTAGATAGCCAGGCATGCTCTTTTCAGGATTTCATTCCATTAGCAGATGCTAAGAACGGATTACCATACCAGAATAATATTTCATTTAATTTCCATAAAGTTAACGTTTTCAGTCCTCGTTGGGCTATTCTTGGGTTTTTCCAATCCATCCCTCTATTTAGTACTAGTATCTTACCTTGAAGACCTGACAGACAGCTTCATCCAGTGTTTTCCAGTCTAGCTTCCCATTCACCTTACTGCTGCCCAAATAGAACTCCTGTTGCTTCAAGTCCTAGAAGCCAAAAGGGAGATATGAATACACAGCTAGGATTACGAACCAGCTTTGTACTGGCAACTGAATCTCACTGGTGCTGTGGTGGGGAAATACCAAGCCTTCCAATCACTTCAATGGTGCTTGCTTACCCCTTTGATAATGTGCTGAGGTGGCATGCGTACTACAATTCGTAGCATCACCTCATCCTTCTGTGTGCCAGCAGTGATGCCATCCATCGGTGATAGTTCTGGAGGGGGAAAGACCATAGTGCATACTATGTACAGTACTAAAACAGATGCCAGTAGCATGAAATGGTGTTGCAAGGAACCCCCGTGCAGTTGACAGAAAAATGTCCTCCCCTTCATCCTTCAATCTACCCTTATAGTATGAGTTCTGACAGTATCTAACATCCCACTGCGCAGTTTGGCCTGTACGACAGGGATGCCATAGTAGCCATCACTGGCAGTGGAAGAATGCCAGTGATTAAAGGGTTTATTTTTCAATTTCCATGGCAATCTGCCACTGCAGATGATATCATTCTTGGTGTGTGTCCAACAGGATTTCACCCAATCTTCTTTTTCATCTGTTAATATGGCTCCCCACTTTCTTAAATTTCTTAAATACTCATTGGTAAGGGGAGGTGTGTTAGTCTTCCGTCACAAAAACAACAAAGAGCCTTAAAGACTAAAAGGTTTTATTTGGCACAAAGTGTCATTGACTCCAATTCATTAAAAAAAAACTGAAGAAGTCAAGTAGTGTTCATAAATTTCTACACCCAATAACAACTGTTCATCTTCATGGTACCACGAGAACCACTGTTGGCTTTTCAGTCTTCAGTGCAGCTCTTCTCCTGCCCTTCCCATAATCTTTGTGTCTCTGCCTCTTTCACACAGAGCATCTCACAGACTCCCCCTTTGAGGGAAAATAATAAGCTGTCAAGTAAGGGCATCAGCATCAGGACTGAGTACTTACACTAGAAGCAGAATGTGCTCAAACACCACAAACTGAACTGCATGATGCAAAACATGGACATCTGCACAGCATCTCATACTTCACCCTCCCTTCTTCGTGATTCTTACCTCTATGACCTCAACCTCTTGCAAAGAGATCTTTAAACAAACAAAGCAGCAGATATGGTCTCCTCTGCCTGATTTCCCCCATTTTGATTTCATACCTGTATCCGTCAAGCTGGGGCTGAAAGAATGAGTGAGCTGCAGCCCTAGAGAACGCCTTGGGGAGGAGGCAGCAGATGAGCTCAAGACATGGCTTGGGATGGAGCCTGGCACAGATGAGGGCCCAGGAGCCACTTTCAGACGGTCATTCTCAGCTTTCAGGAGATCCACCTCCAGCTACAAGGAATGGAAAGATAGCTTTGTTTGGGGTAAGGAGACAAAATGGCACCATTCTGGATTCCATGACTGATGGACTGGAGAACTTTTCATAAGAAGTGGAACTTTTTCCAAGGATAGAAAACGCCCCGGCATAGCCAGATACAACCCTAGCAATTCTTTTTTTACAAAGAGGAAAAGTGGCTTTTTTCAACTTCTTCATCATTAGTACTATAAATGGAAGGGATACCCACTAAATTTCTTATTGATTTATACTGTCTCAACATGAAGAGAAACCTTGATGTGAATTTTTCAAGCCTCTGTCTGATTCCTATCCTCCAGCCAACAGAAAACAAAGGACTTTTTCTGCCTTCAATTTCGTCATAATTTGTGTAAAATGTTTCCAGTATCCTTCCCTTTTAACAAGCAAAACACACACACCACAAGCACAGAAGGATGGGGTGATTGCCAAGGAAAAGGTAAATAACGCATATAGCAATTCAGATACTTAAATTAAGCAGCAGCCAGTCTAATTTTGGCAATTCAGATGACTGTAGAAATCCTGTGGCCTTGTGCAAAAAGGAAGTACATTCATGCAGAAACTGGCTTTTGTGTACAAAGTACTATTCTTATCAATAGGAGAACTTCATTGAGATGTCAGGAAATTTGTCATCAGCATCACTTACAAGGAGAAGAACGCTGTAGTTCCTTCTCTTTGCATGAAAAGGCAAGTTGAGTGAGGATCTGCATTGTGAGTTAGTGCAGACATCACATAATGAGCAACGACAGTAAGGAAAGCAGCAAAGCTATTTATTTGGTTTCTGGTACTCCCCTTTAAAAATTCTGCCTAAACAAAATACAACTGTTTTGAGCTCCTAAAAGTTGCAGCCTAAATCCTTCTCTCAGAACTGCTCTGATCTTTGCATAGGATGCCCTTCTCCAGTATGCTGCCCCCTGATGTACTGAAATGCAACTACCATCATCATTTTTAGACACCTTAGCCAATTGGGGGGGGAGGAAAGACACACTGCATTGGAGAAGGCTGGCTTGCAACATTATTACTTTGACAATATCAGAGAATGAGAGCATTTAACTGTATAAAGCAAAGCTGACTGCTCTTCCTGTAACCCGATCTATGAAGAATTCTATGAGAGCTTGTTTGCTCTCACAGAAGACACTGGGCCTACATGAATTAAACAGCCTATTTTGTCTTTGAAAAAAACAGCAACAGCAGCAGCAATAGATGCTTAAAGGTAAAAGGTAAAGGTTCCCCTTGACAATTTGTTTTTTGTCCAGTCGTGTCCGACTCTAGGGGGCGGTGCTCATCCCCGTTTCCAAGCCATAGAGCCAGCGTTTGTCCGAAGACAATCTTCCGTGGTCACATGGCCAGTGCGACTTAGACACGGAACACTGTTACCTTCCCACTGAGGTGGTCCCTATTTATCTACTTGCATTTGCATGCTTTCGAACCGCTAGGTTGGCGGGAGCTGGGACAAGCAACGGGAGCTCACTCCGCCGCGTGGATTCGATCTTACGACTGCTTGGTCTTTTGACCCTGCAGCACAGGCTTCTGCGGTTTAGCCCACAGCGCCACCACGTCCCTTAGACGTGCTTAGATAGATGCTTAGGAAAAGAAATTTCAAAGGCAGTCAAGGACCTGGCTGCTTTCCACGGGTGGCATGTCCTACCTGGTCCAGGGTACTCACCTGCATGTTGTGCATAGTTTCACGGAGCTGATCCAGCTGGTGGGCAGAGTTTAGGGCTTCCAGGCGAATGTCTGTGAGTTTCATTTCTTTTTCCCACAGCTCTGAGCGTAGCTCTGAGACCTCCTTTTTCTCAGGCTCCTCTTCTTCGTTGGTCTGGAAGAGCCTATGCAATGAGGAAATGGAGACAAAGACACATTTTCAGTTTGTCCTGGTTTCTTTTATTCCATTAGCCTTCCTGCATCCTCTAATCTGCCATACAGTACTTACTATATGATTTTTAAAGACACAATCTGAGAGAGATGCACTGCTGGCAGCAGGCATGAAGAGAGGGATTGTCCCAGGAGAGTGCTGGTGCATCTAGCTAGAACTATGGATCTCTTCGGATGGAGCTATTTCCCCCTCAATGCTGTTGCTGTCTTAACAGTGCATAAAATCTCTGGAGTCCCCGTAATCACTGGAAAGGTGTCCTGCACAGCTACTTAGCCTTCTCTTGCAAACATAACATTGCAGAGCATTTGGAATGCACCAGCCAATAGAACTGGATTCACAAACCTTAAGAAGGGAGTAACTATTGCACCTGAGTAGGCAGACAGAACTTAAGTGTAAAACATGGACATAGGTCCCCCCCCCGGCCACTTATTCCCCAGAGGGGAGTAACTATTGCACCTGAGTAGGCAGATAGAACATGGACATATGTCTCTCCCCCCCCGCCTGGCCACTTATTCCCCAGAAGGTAAGGAGCTGGACTTACTCAGTGTTATCAATTCCCACGGAAGAGGAATTAGAAGATTTGATGGAGGGTGAGGCTGTCTCTGTGGATCCGTGTTGCAGCTTGGGAGATGAGGGTGCTGAAGAATCAGGGGTGGCAATTTCTTCTATGTCAGAATAGGAAGAAGCAGATTTGGGACCCTTCTTGATGCTGAAAGCCTTGTTGAAAGAGCTCCTCAACTAAAGGGGAAAATTGAGATGCAGAAAATGTTGAGAATGCTGTTTAAGATCTATTGCTGGAAAACAGGGGAAGCTCCGCCATGGAATAAGTGACAGAAGAAGTGTGTGCTTTTTACACCCTGTTACACCATACATTCTAACCAATTTGCACATTTCCTAGTATTCAAATTTTCCTTTTTATCTGCTTCTCATCCCACCTTAAAAACCAAATACCATCACATCTTTGAGCAATGCACATTTTTTACTCTAACCTTTTCTGAACTGTATCTTAGTTCCAACTAGAATACAACCACTAAATTAAAGGGATGTATATGTGCTAAAAAGCACCACTGATTCAGTGGGTCCCCTCTAATTGGGAGTAACTATTGGCGTTAAGGCTATATCTACAGAGCCTACATTTTGGTTTAATTAACCTTTTGTTCTGCACTGACAAGATATGATCATAAATTAGAATTCCTTCTCCATCCATGCACTGACACGATGAGAAAAATCCCATAACTGAAGCATTAAGGGGTATCTAATCTGCATCTGATCTATGCCAACTCTGTGCCCCAAGCAGCTGAGAAACAGATTCCAAAATGCTCAACAGGATCAACAGTGATACTGTTCACTTTCTAAGCTGCCAATCGGAGACTCTAGAATGAGTGCCTCCATTCCCCAAAGGAAAATGGAAAGTCTCAGCTCAAGTCAGCTCCTGGCAAGGAAGCTGAAATGCTCCCAAGTATCATTGCCATACCCCACCATGTAAAGCACCAGGCTGCCTTGTGGGGTTGGTAACCATAAATCTGGGCTCTTGGGGGATGCTTATAGCAGAACTACAACTAGGAAACAAATGAAAGCCCAGGCTTGATGGGGATGCTTATAGCAGAACTACAACTAGGCTTGAGATATGCCTCCTCAGGGAAGACCTATGATGTGTAACCAGTTGGCAAAGGAGCAGACATCAGGCAGATTCTGCCCCCATAGTCTGACTGAAGAAGTAATTCTACATGATCCTACTTTATCTATCACAGGAGCAGCATGGGCAGTTTTGTATACAGAGATTTGGGTTTGTTGAAGCATGCACAATAGTTCATAGCTAGCAGCAACATGCTGCTGCCCTGCTAAGTCCATGCATATAAGTGTTGCCACTGTCATGCTATGTGAGGAAGATGCAAAAGGATATATTGGCCAAAATCCTGTTGCTTAGCACAGTAAATTGCACTAGAGTAGGCCCACTAGAGTAGTGAGTCAACTCCTCCTCCCTTGATTTGAATGGGCCTACTCTAGTTGTGACTTCCTATATTAAATTAAGTTCCAGTTAGGGCAAGCTCATCTGAATGAATGAAACTTAAGAGGTGCTGACTCACCAAATCCCATTGATTCAACTGGCCTGCTCTAATGCAATTTACTACATCAAGCAACAAGATTTTGAATAGTCGCTTCATTCAGAGTACGTTGTGTTTCTTATATCTTTACAAACAGAGGGGAAAGTATGGTGGGCCTGATACAACTGGCAGATTTATCCACAGATATAAATAATCAGAAGTATTCCACACTACTCAATTACAAGTGTGTCTTGTTTGTATAAGGGTTACCTGTAAGAAACGCAGCTCTGTCAAACTACAATCTAGAGGTGGAAAAATACTTATTTGAAGCTGTAACCCCCAGAATACATAAGCCAGCATAGATAGAAGACGTGTTGACTAGAGTACCAGGAGCTATAGTCCAAAAAAGTAAGCTTTCCCCTTTTTGCTACTATTATCTGCCACCACCTTTTGAAGCAAATTTGGAGTTTTAACTATATTAAAAGAACCTGAAATTAGGTACTGGCTTCTCCATAGATGTAACTCTGTCTTGGAACATAGAGGTACAGATATATTGCCCACAGATACATATAAATCGATAGAGGTCATAAAGGAATGGAAAGGGCATATTCTGTCAGCAACGTTGATTCAGGGACAGTATTGTATTTACAGTTACATTCATTTTGTTACAGGATCAGAGATTCACCACTGAAAGTGTGCTAAAAGAAACATTGGATGTATTATTGTCATGGATGCAGCAACTTCAGAGCCCATCAGGGAGTCCATCCACTGTCAGAGCAGGGTATCTCCTGCACTCACACATGCATTTGATTTTCCAGTGCACCAATTTCAAGACTAGCAACTTGCATTCATACAGCAGCAAGCCAGAAAGTATGCACGGTGTACAGATGTTTGAAGTGCTTAACAGGTTCAACCAGCTATTATGTGAAGTCTTCCTGAACCAGAGATTTTTCTATGTTTATAATGTGTACATGATGATAGTTAAAGCAAATTTCATACACTAAGGGCTCCATATATTTTACCTCTCTTGACATCTCCACTTTTAAATCTGGTACCAGTTGCTAAATCTCCTAATAAGGATGATAGGCTGCTTTGTTTCCCCACAGAACATGTAACCCCTTTCAGGATTTAATGAGAAAACTCACACAAAGGAAGCCAAGGTCAGGCATTCAAAGGCACTGCTTCTAAAAGTCTAGAACAGTCTTTTGTCTTCTCATATGTAATAGCTAAATGTTACAGAAGAGGTTTTTTTTTTTCCATAAGGAAGGAGTTCTAGTCCACCAATGCTTTGCTCAAGTGAAATCATCAACGTGCGGTCTTAACCATGCTCAGGTGGAGCATGCAACATGCACACACACACGCTCACACAGACACAAAGCAGGCACCAGTCCACACATGTACTGACACAGTAGCAGGGAGAGTAGCCACTGTAATGGATGAAGATGCTACTGGAATGTAGGGGGTAGCATTAGCTAACCTATCCCCATGCCAATCTATGGGCACACAAGAGGCCAAGGGACTGGAGCTGAGTCAGTGCTAGAACTTCTGTTACCATGTCACCTGGCTTCCAATGGTATACAACTACTATATTGTTCTGTGAAATCAGGATGCTTTTGATCTCTAGTGACTCTAATGCAATTTTCAAGGTATATGAGATGTTCAAGGAGCAATTTCCCATTGCTGCTCCCTAACGAGTTTCTATAGCCAAATGGGGAATAGACCCCAGTTCTCTTGAATCCTAGTCCAACACACCTTCAGTACACTGTATCACATTGGCTCTTATCTGTACCTATACCTCTGACCATTCCCCAGCAAGAAAAAGATACACAAACTCATTTATCAGTGTTTTCAAGATTTATTTCCTCCTGCTTTGATAAGTGTGTATGATGGTGGAACACACAGTGCGTAGAATTTAGAAAAGTCTTATGATTTGCAATATATACCTTCCTCCTTCCATTTACAGGTAACAATCATCGAAAATTTCACCAGTCACTTGTGACAGGAGGAGGAGATTATATTCTACTGTTCATATGTCTCTCATTGGCTACCCCCTCCCCAATTCCACAGTGGACATTAAGGTAAGTTGCTACATTAACAACAGCCATGAAACCTTTCCCCAGCACCAGTGCAGTGGCCCCTTGCTGTGTGGCTTTGCAGTGCAAGCAAAAGCACAAATGGGATGTAAGTTTCACAAGTGCTGCGCTGTCCCAATGCAATGGAGTGACCAGTCAGAGGAGTAAAACATAAGGAAAGGACTGGTGAAGGCAGGAGGGGAACAAGGAAGTTCCAAGCTTACCTCATACACCTGGAAAAAAAGGGGTTGGGATCAGCATTGAAGGAAGAAAGGGGGAGAAAAACACACAGCAAGACTTAATCATGCGTTCAGCTTAGATCCCTGCCTGTAGCAAGCTGGGAAACTCAGGACAGCACACAGAAACCGGGGCAGACCTCGGCACCAGCCTTCCCAACATAACAAGACACCTGCTGAGCTGAGAGACAAGCATGAGTGACCTTTCTCTCCATATGGGTTTGGTAGGAAAAGGCAGGGCTACATGGTTCAAATAAAGGGAAACCGAGGGCACACTAGCAATGCACGCAAGTACTTGCCGTGCGAAGGCTCTTGTGATGCAATGGTTATTTTAAAAGTTCAATTCTTTATCACAGTAATTTCACATGTGCTTAGAAATGTCTCCAGTAAGATTAATGTCAAATTACACTCTCTCTTTCTTTTTCTTTTGGCAGAGGGTATTTTTTTGTCAATATAAATAAATGTCTTGCTTAACAGTGCAGCTTTATCCTATTTGTGGATAAAAGAAATGGCACATTTTTAACTTTTAATTGATATTACAGGAAAATAGTCACTGCTGAAGTACTGCAGAATTAACAAAAGGGGAAAAATAGTTTTTCAAATCAGTTAATTTTGTATACCTCAGTGGTTTAGATATCTGGTTGCGAAGCCAGAGACTGGGAGTTCAATCTCCCCTATACCTCCTTGACAGGCGCTGGACTTGATGATCTATAGGATCCTTTCCAACTCTGCAGTTCTAAGATCATTATAGTATTGTTTGTTGATATATATCCATATCATGGATGCTGGAGGAGACTCTTGAGAGTCCCCTGGACTGCAAAGAGAACAAACCTATCTATTCTGAAGGAAATCAAAGTGAAAGTGCTCACTGGAAGGACAAATTCTGAAGCTCAGGTTCCAATACTTTGGCCAACTCATGAGATGAGAAGACTCCCTGGAGAAAACCCTGATGTTGGGAAAATGTGAAAGCAAGAGGAGAAAGAGATGACAGAGGACGAGATGGTTGGACAGTGTCATCGAAGCTATGAACATGAATTTGACCCAATTCCGGGAGGCAGTGGAAGACAGGAGGGCCTGGCACACTCTGGTCCATGGGGTCACAAAGAGTCGGACACGACTTCACGAAGCAAAGAAACAAACTGGAAAGAGGCTTAAAAATCTGAAAACTTTTCCAGCCCCATCCTGGAATCTTGTTAAATTGCTAGAGAGAAGAAACATATCCAATATCTAAAGGATTCCTGGAGGAAGGAGTCTTGGGATTGAGAGGCAATTTAACTTCAAATATGCTAGGAACACTAGAAGTACATGTGGAACTACACAATAAACTTGACTTTTTGGTGTGTGTTTTTTGGTGTTTTTTTTTTTTTAATAATAGCATCACTAAGTTAGTGTCCCTGTCTTCCTGCTGGGCCATTGCATCCATATCAAGACTGAAACTAGCACACCTGGTAGGCAGTAGGAATCACTTACTGGTAGATCCCACCTAGAAGTAAGAGCAGATTCTCATTTGGATTTCAGAGCAAAACAGATGCAGAATAGTTTCTTAACAAACAAAACTACTCTGTTTCCATTAGCCAGTATCCTGACACCTCCCTTGACATCATGCTAGCTGTATTGACAAAACACCTAACGGGATTTCATCCCCATATGTGGCCCAAGGTTTTTTTTTCCTGTTTTTCCTTGCCTTTCACCTACCCAGCTTTTCTTCTTCTTCTTCTTGGCATCTGCATCCTTGCCGCTCCCAATGCTGGAATGGCTCGTGATGCTGTTCAGGCTGGATATACTATCTGATGAGTTTTGCCTCCTGATCCGTAGTTCTGGAAGGACAGAGAGAACCTTAAAGGCACCAGGCAACCCCTTGATCAGGAGCTCTTGCAGCTATCCAGGTGATCAGCTACTAAGACTGTTTCTCAGCTACAGTATGGACAAAACTACCACAGAAAGGCACACGTTCTGTATTTTGTTCCCACTTATTTAGTATCACACAGATAAGCCAAAATTTTGTATGGACATACACTAAAAAGGTGTAAAATGAAGCAGTATAGTAAATTATTATTCTTGGCTTTTAATATTATGTTTTTAATGATGATTGTAAGCCATCCTGAGTCCTTTTTTAGGAGAAAGGCAAGTCAAAATATTTTAAATAAAATAAAAAATAATATTCCTTTTTGATTTACAGCAACTTACAGCAATTCACATCTATAAGTTATTCTGTGCAACAGCATTTCATCCCATATCTAATCCCAGTTTGGCACCATTCAGCATTGGTTGGAAAAGTGACATTTTGGACTACAACTCTGTGGGGATTGTAGTCCAAAATAAAAAAGTAACAGTTCTGAGCTTTGCTTCCCTATCACTAAAACAACCTACTATCCATGAAGGCAACCATCTAAATGTTCCACAAAGGTAGTGTGTGTGTGCGCAGAAGATCATGCTCACCTTTAGGTGTAACCTCAGTGCCATTCAGGGCCCCTTGGATAACAGCCTGGGCTTCCGAGTTCTTTTTCTTCAAGAAATCAATAGTTTCTCGCAAGTCCAGGAGCTCAGTATCCTGAAAAAGATGCACGGCCAATGAATACATTGAGTTTTGTTCTCATACTTGAAGTTTCAGTTACAGAAGGTGGTGATTGAGGAGGGGGGGCAGAAAAAAGATGATGGAGTTGAAAAGCTGCCATCAGTACTTGGCATTCTTATATAGCTGTTTCAGCCCAGGACCTAGTGGTGGTGGGCCCATCAACAGTTGCCTTTAAATCCCTTGCCCCCTGGTTCAGCTTACCACACTCACTACTTTGTAATTTATCCATCCTATTCACTGGATAGCCAAAAGAAAAGAAACGGGGTCTGCCTTGCTTCTAAGCAAAGTGAAATGACTGCTTGAGGTGGCAAACCAAAGGGACTGTGGAATTTATCACTTCCTCTCTCTATAAATCTTCTCTATTCCTGATAAGTAATAAGTAATAATCAATGCAGTATCCAGTGAAATGTCCTGTCCCTGGTGCAGGGAAATCTTCTGAGCACAATGCCCGAGAAACACTGCTGGACTCTGAGAGATCTTTAGAGACCAGCAGTTAGAGAAGAGCTGGCCAGCTCTGTAGAGAGTAGTGCACACAGGGCTCCTGGAAAGCAGTGCCAGCAGGTTGGAGGTAGGGCACAGGAGAAGCAGTGGAGGTGGAGATGGAGCTGGAGGAAGAAAGAAGGGCATTTAGCAGTGGGGATGCAGCTACAAGCAGTGAATGGGATGCTATCTTTCTATTTCTGTTTCAAGGAATGGAGAGTCTGAGCAGCCTGTAAGAACAGATCATTTGTGCATTTCCTTTCCAAGCTAGGATGGTGGTGGTCTTGCTCTCAGTGGAGCTTTGAATATTGCTGCCAAATACTCACTGAAGTATAACAAACCTTTATCACTATGGTTGGTTGTTCTCTCAATGTCTACAGCCCCAGAAAGAGGGCCTTTAAGGCTGCACGTGCTTCCTTTGCCCCTGTGCAGTGTGAACTTGCAGAGGAGGAGGAAAAATAAGGAAAAGGAAGCCCCTATAAGTAGAGGAATCTGTAGGTGTCCACTTGCTGCCTGTCCTCTCACAGGACTAACCTTCTCTTCTGCTGTCTCAGCAAGCTGTCGGAGGCGAGATGTCATGTTCACCAGGCTCTGTTCAAAGGCTGCTACTAAATTGGCCTGAAAAGAAAAAGATGAGGACACAAGGCTCATGCAACAGCACAAGAAGCAGAGTCACAAAAATAAATGCCAAGGGGAGGTCACTGACAGACAGGGCTTGGGAGTTTCCCTTGCCAACTCTGGTGTGGTGAGAGGAGAGCCAGTCCTTTGTGTACAAGAGGAATTCCAGGCTTCTTCCGCACCTGGAGCTATAAGAAAGTGAGATGGAACTTCACTGTCATCCCAAGTCCCAAAGCTCAGCTGAAGCTTAGAATATGGTGGGGACTGTACTTGCTGGGAAGAAGTACAGAACCATAACCAAGCCTTGCCTCCTGCTCCTGAATCTGAGCTGGAAATGAGAGACGGATGGTCTTGCCTTTGTGCTAGAGAAATGCTCTGTCTGCCAAATGTACAGAGCAGAAGATACTCACAAGCCTCCATCTTGAAATGTCAAACATGAAACTGGAGTGGGGGAAAGAAACGATATGTTTTTCCATTGGCCAGGGCTTGGCGTGCCTACTGGGTACAGAGGTTGGGCAAGCTCCTGTGCCTTCCTCTCCTCCTTCTTTTGAGCATTTAAAGTTGGAGCAGGGGGAGACGGAGAGATAGGGAGTTTGCTCTGCATTACAAGACCTCTTTGCTGCAAGGAAAAAAAAAGCAGGTCTCCATTTCCCTCCAGCTCTGAGCTGCTGAAGAGGCAGGAGCTTCTATTCCAACCCTTACCAGAAACGTCTGGAGCTAGACAGAGGAAAATGAGATTTATCCACAATATCATGTTCTGTTTCAAAGACACAACCAAGGTCAAGGACATGGGTTTGCACCCTCCCCCCAGAAAGGAGGAAATCCTGATGACAGAAACTTTGTAACTGACTAGTAAGACTTGTCAAAATGTGTTAACTCTTGGTAAAAAGGCACACGAATTGCCTGTGGAATGTCCCAAGTTGAATTCCTGGCATTTTCATTATAAAGAAAGGTTTAGGGAACAGCCTGGGATTCTTAAAAGAACAATTGAGAAACAACTCATAGCTACATGGCAAGCATCCACTAGAGGGTGCCCCTGTTCCATACAGTACTGTATGTAGACCCACCTCCCTATGTTCTATGGCCATTTGCTGCAAGACAATCAAGGACAAATTAGTGTACTCTGCTCCCTTGCTACCCTGGACCTTCAGAACTACAGAGAATCTGCCTAAATCCCTTGATACTGTCAGCAGCCAAATCTTTAACAGAAGTGCATTTCTGGGGATCTACACACAACAGCAAACTGTTAGGGCAACATTCAATAGAGTTCTAGTTCAGAGATAGTCTTCTTATATGTGTGGGACTTCCAAAGACTGCAGGGCTAATGTGCCTTTGTCCCCAATACAAAAAGCCTTTTGCCGTGCATGGCATTCTCAGCCAGGAGGCATCCGTGCCAGTGGAGACAAGGCATAGCAACTTACATTGGCTGACAGCTGGGATGTCAGTGTGGCCACCTTCTCTTGGGATGATTCCAACTCACGGCGTAGTTTGCGGATTTGCTACGGGAGAGAAAAGAAAGGGGTGAGTCAAGAGAGCAGAAAAGCCCTTTGCTCTCCACCAACGGTCAAGAGCAACATAGCAGTGAGGAGGAAAGAGAGGATGTTACTGTACCTCAGACTGCATCCTCTCCTCAGCCTGGCAGCAGATGATGGGGCAGAGGAGAGACAGAGAGGCAGGCGGTTAGGGTGTAAGAAGCAGAGGCAATCACAGCCACCGGTGAGCAGCCATGCATAGAACCCAGCACTTGCACTGCAATCAGTCTTTCCACCTCCACCCCATATCGTCCTTCTCATGGCAACACTACCCGGGCAATTGTAACAGACCCCATAGTTACAACATGCCAAGCCCTATACCAGTTGCACTCCATCCCACTTGGAAAGAACACAGCACCAGATCACCCGCAGCTGAAGTGGGATGCATATCCTGCTGGAACTGAACACAGAGAAAAGTAAAGGCTGGTTGATGAAGGGAACACAGCTTACTGAGGAGTAAGTGGAGGAAGCACTGGATGCCAGGGACAGCACGGATCCATGAACTGCAATAGAAAAGACAGAGAAAGAGACACGTGTTGGGGGCTGCTTGTGGCAAAGGAAGAGGAAGCTAATTGGACACAAAAAGACCTAGGGAGCACTGGCGCACATAGGAGGTAGGGCACTTGGGGGAGGACCTAGGGGTTGGGTGTGTGCATAGGGGCAGGTCCAACACCAAGAGCAACCCGAGCTAATGAAGAGCCCCCATGATGGTGAATGCAAGAAGTATGCTCAGAAGACCATTTAGCCCTGGAACAAACATTTAGCAGTCCATGCCTAGGGGAGGGGAGGAGTGTTTGGTGGAGACCATACATTCTAACATGCCTAAGAAATGTTTCCCTAGAGCAAAGGGAAAACATCTTGGTAGTATAGCCACCCAATATTTTGTTGTTGTTGTTTAAATAAACATGAGATCATCAGGTTAAAGCCAAATATTTAGTATAAGCACCCAACCAGAAGTAACACTACCCAGATCAGGCACCCACTTGAGTTGTCAGCATTTCACTGCCATGTGTAGTATATAATGTTTCCTTAACCTACTTTAGATTAAACACACTCTTTCCAAGGGAAGGAGGAAAGCAACAAACCTAGAAGCTGACTCTGCTCCATGACAGACTGGTAATAATAATGCTACTTATGTACTATCAAGACAATTCTGACTTGCAGAGACCCTTTCCAAGATTTTTTAGATAAAGAACACTATCATTTTCCTTTCTGGGGACACACAGGGGCTATGCAGTTTCCCCAAGGCAACATAGGCTGGCTCTTTTCCTGGGACACATAATGAGGAATCGAACTCTCAAACTCTAACCTAATTTACTGAGCTATCCAGACAGTTATGAGAGTCTGGTATTTTGGACTAACTAGGGCGCCTGCCCACAAAATCCTGGGGATGGTGCTACCAGATGTGCAAGAGATAGAAAATGAAGATGAAAAGGGCACTGGCTGCATCCATTTCATCCCTAATTGTTCTACAACATTTGGATTCCCTGCAGGCCAGGAAGCACTTCCCACAGATGCACCAACCACCTGCCATGGACATTCAGTGCTCTTGAGAAGATGTGATGGACAGAATTTGTTGTGACTGTATCCCTCTCACCATTATTACTGAGGAGGAGACTCTTGTCCTCCTGGCCGGGTGCAGGACTCTCACCATCATCCACAGGGTCGCGGAAAGAGCCTGAGCGGATCATGCCCTTGGGCCGGTCAGCCAAGGAGAGAGTGCTGCCCATGGGGGAGGCGTTGTACAGCTCGAAGGTAGAGTCATGAGTAGGGATGCTGTTAGAGCGGGTGATCCTCGGGGTGTTGGTTGCCGTGGGACTCACTGCAGGAGAAGGGGAGGAGGGGAGGAGAGGCTAGTCAGAGCAGCTCAAAGCAAGGAATAGGGTCTAGGGAACCGGATGTGCTGCATGGGAATTTGGGGGAAAGCGCAAGGCATCCAGGATGGAGACAGGGAAGGGCAGGACCAGTGAATGCACACCACACCTGATGTTAAGGCTTCAGTCAGCACCTGCAAAACAGTATCACTAACACCAATTTGTGACTGAAGTGGTTAGAAGGAGCATCTGGCCTTTCTCATGTTCCAGTGCAGACAGGGAAAAATTAACATTATTTCAGCCTCACATAGCCTCATATTATTCTCAGTACAGTTTAATCCCTTCCCCTTTAGAAAAAAAAAATACAATCTGGCAGAGATTTGCAGTATTAAACAGTAGAGACAGAAAGGCATGAAGTGTGGAAAAATAACCTACATTCTTTTAACTATGCGTCAATAATTGTGTTAAAGTGTAGAGAGGAACTCCAGACTGATCACTTGAAAAATGTTCTCTCATTCCCTTAAAAAATGCTCTGGTCTATGTTAGAGTACTAGTGCAACTTCAGTACATGTATTCTTTTATTTCTTGGAACTGTATATTTATTACTGCTAATACAGGTACCCTTGGTCAGTAAAAGGCCTGGACAGATCTTCTTCTTTTCAATGTGTTTATAGCCAATTTTGCTTAGAAATTAAACGCTATGCCTTAGACCTGCTGCATAACCTCACAGAAAAATCTATTTTTGGCAAAAATATGGAACTTCTATTGCATCAAGAATAGGATCATAAACTGTCCCAAGATGTTCTATGTGCCTGTCTCTACAGGAAATGCAAAGTACCTTTATAGCACCCCTCCACATGCCCCTAAACTTGGACTGTGGGTGAGCTGACAATGCTCTTATAAGGAAAAAAAGTGAAAGAAAAGGATCTCCTAAACTGCAAATGGACACCACCTGCTTTAGTTGCACTATACGGATTCAGAATGACTGCTTGCAGAGCAACTGTTGCAGAAAACACAAGGAAGAAAAACTAACCAATATTAGTGAGTGGGGCCTTTCCAACCAATGGCATGGAGAGAGCAGGAGGAGAGGGCAGCTCAGATTGGTCATCTGACTCCTGCATCGCCCCAATTGTGTGGGAGTGTCGCCTCTCCTTGGCCTCTTCCTGGATTTGATACCTGCCAAAATCAAAGCAAAAAGGAACAGAACAAAACTGGTGAGCCATATAGAGAAAATCATAAAGAAGCTGTGGTGAGCATCGGTTCAAGTTGTTCACACCCAGACACTTTGTGGTGTCAGAACCAGAGAAAGGCTAATTATGATGCAGTTCTCACAAAGAACAGTGAACCAAGTTCAAAGGTACAATCAGAACCACGGTGATCTCCTAAAATCCAAGAAAGATGGTTGAAAACAACAACAACAAAAAACATTAACCCCCCAATTATTGTGATTATCCCTGTCCCATACTTTTTGTTTAAATTCATATATGTATTTTCATGAAAAATGTCCAGTATACACTGCAACTGCAAAGATATATGAAAATCCAAAATTTCACTAGTTGCAACAGGCCTGGAAAACCCCTGTTCAGCAGGTAAGATGATGCTAAGAAAATGTACATTGCTGGGAGTTAATAAGCTAACTGGAGTTTTCTAAATGAATAATGGACTGTTCATATCATCATGAGACTCTTCCTAAAGGAAATTAATAAAAATCGATGAACAAAGGAATAACACCAACTAAAATCCATGAGACTTCCTTTAGAGTAAACCTATGTAGTTTTGGGCTGTAGTACATGTACTCACTCCAGTAACTATCTGAATGTAATTACAAAACTTAGTGGATGTCATTTTAACTTTCAGTTAATAGTAAAGTTTGTAGTACTTTATTCTAATGCACATTATTTGTTAATTGCAGGATTTGTGTTGTGTTCCAGAAAATAAAAATAAAGACAGTATCATTCATATGGAATGGCTCTTACAATATCATTTTTATGCTTTGGATCTACAGAGATGGGAAAGCTGTGTGTGCCTTTGCCAATTATCAAAAAAACAAAACCATGAAGTGAGAGATGTAATCAGATCCCTAGCTTGTTTTGATGTGAGCGAATGGGTGGGCCACTGTTATAAACCACCATGGCTAATTGATTTTCTATAGGATCCTATCTTTGTAGTGTTACAGAATCTCAGGTTTCCTGCTTAAGGAGATGATAAACAGGATGATCAAAAGCATACACAGTGTTGGTTTGTGGGAAACAGATTTCTTTAGCTGGTCATCCTGTATTATCATGACCACAACGAAAAGAGGGGGAGCAGGGAGCAGGATTACCTTAGTCCCTTCTTGGGCAGTGTATTCCGGTCACGGTTAGAGCTGTAGGAGAGGAAATGAACAGCAGTATTTGTTAATTATTTGCCTGAGCAGCTCTGGTTCCTAATAGGACATATAGTCATTTGTGTGTTTGTTTATTGCAATTTTATGCTGCCTTTCCCCCTGAGAAGGGACCAAGGTGTCACAAATTATAAAAAACAAACCAACTAAAAGCACGATAAATTATTGCATTACAACAATTAATCATGTATAAATAATAATATAAAACAGAAAGTGATAATGAGACTGTATTATCATACATAAGATGATAATGAACTATTTTCTGAGCTTTAAAAGCAATTAAAAACAATTAAAAAACAATGATATAACAGTATGAAAACAATTAGCTAAAAGCACCTTAA